ACGGGCCAGTGGGAAGATAGCAAGACAGCCGGAGGGGCGGGGGAGGGGGGGTGGCCTCCTGGTGGCGAGGGAGGGGAGGGGCGAGGGTGTCCTGTCCTGTCGCATCTCCAAACTCTCCCTCCATTGGCTGCCTCTGGGGAAGCTGCACAGCAGGGTGGCCGGCAGCAGGACTCTGCACTTGGATCCCCAGTTGACCACTGCCCAGCCGTGTGAGCATGAGAAAGTCTCTCAGCCTATCTGTGCCTCAGTTTCCCTGTCTCTGGTGCTCCCCGCATTAGGCTGTCAGAAGATCATCTCCACCCCCAGGTCACACGCCTGGACACTCCTGCTTGCCTTGCCTGTTCGAGTCACCCACGCTGAGAGCCTGGTCCGGGACCTCTCGCCTGCGACCAAGGGTCAGCGGTCGAAGCCCCCTGTGCCCCCGACAACGTCCTCACAGCAGCTGCAGACCTCAGGCTGGGCAGCTGTCCGTCTGGTCCTCCGCTCTGGCCAGGCTGGTCTTCTGGCTGTGGCAGTGACTCTCCACCTTTTCAGGTAAAGGCTCTCTTTTTAACATCTAAAAATGGACTTGGAGGGGCACCTGGGTGGCTCATTTGGTTGAGCGTCCGACTTCGGCTCAGGTCATGATCTCACGGCTCGGGAGTTCGAGCCCCGTAGTGGGCTCTGTGCTGACAGCTCAGAGCCTGGAGCCTGCTTTGGATTCTGTATCTCCCTCTCTCTGCCCCTTCCCTGCTCACACTCTGTCTCTGTCTCTCTCTCTGTCAAAAATAAATAAACATCAAAAATGGGCTTGGAGATCCATGACCCGATGGCAATTATGGCTTTAGCACTTTCTGAGAAAACATACAAAACCCCAAAAACTTTGCGTCTGTCGGTCACATTAGCACCCACACATGTCTGAGGCATAATCTATGTATATGTGTATGTGTGTATACACACAAATACACACATTCAAAAATACGGATACCTGCAAATGTAAATATGTATGTAAATATGCATACCCCCAAGTATGTATTTATAAACACAGAAACACCCACAAATACATATTTATGCAAATGCATACACATACAACTATTTACATAAACATATACACCCACAAATATTTACACAAACACACACACCCACGCATATTTACATAAACAGATACACCCACAAATATTTACATAAACACATACACCCACCCATATTTACATCAGCATATACTCCCACAAGTATACATGTAAAGGTAGGTTGCTGTAACAAAGAGGCCCCAAATACAGTGTATTCTGCTGAGAAGACAGAAGTTTATGTTTCTCCGACTGGCATGCTTCTGCAGTGAGCAGGCCCGGCCGGTGGGGCGGCTCTGTGCCAAGGGATCATCTGGAAACCCACGATCCTCCCGGCTGCCGTCCTCCAGAACTCTCCACGGTGGCGAAAACGTTCTGCACGTGCACCTTCCCACTAGTACGGCAGCCACTAGCCCACGTGGCCGTTGCGCTCTCGCGACGCGACCGGTGCAGCTGGGAAGTGGAACGCAGTTTCCCTGAATCTCGGCTCGCTTAGATGAGGTGCCGCGGCAGCCGCGAGGCGGGGCCTGCGGGACAAGGTGGGGTTGTCGCAAGGCACACGGTGTGAGGGCTGGTACGTGGGTGGGGAGACAAACACGGAAACAAATACTCCGAGGACAACACGCAGCTTTCCGGCCGTCACCGATGGGTATGGATGCCCCTGAGAGGAACGCCGAGAGCACATTTGGGGATGTGGATGGAAACGTGGTGCCCCCCCCCAGATGGCATCGGGGGCTCCGCGCTCTGTGACCGATGGCGCCCCAACCACCAAACCGCAAACTCATCTGGACAGACCGTGCGTTCAGTGTGAGTGGCGCTCCAGACGATATGTGCCTCCAATTCTGCCATTCAAAGGTGGGTCCCACCTGCAATGCCTCACAAGCGAAGACAGTGGAAAATAATTTAAGCATGTAAAGTACGGGGCTCTTCAGGTAACTGCACTTTTACTGTTTGCTATTAACTTGATTAAAATTGTTTGATTAAGCCAAAAAAAAAAAAAAAAAAAAAGCTGCCCAGGGGGCTGGCGGCCACTGTGATGGACAGCGTAGCTCCCCCAGCCTGGCCCGGTCCCCACTGGGAGACCTGCTTGGAGGAGGCAGTCCCAGCAGGAGGACTATGTCGACTCACGCTCGAGAGAATCAGTCCAGGGCCACTCCTCACGGCAAGGGGCCGGGGAAGGGACTGGCCGAGGGCAGCAGCATCTGGGGCGCCCCGAGTTACCGTGAAAGGGGCATGGGGGACAGCTGTCAGTCTGAGCCAGGCCACCTCAACCCGACACGCGCTGTTTCTTCTGTCCGTAGAACTCACCGGTGAGCCTAGGGGCCCCTGGCAGTCACTGCACACTCAGGGGTCTGTGACCAGGGGTGGGGCCCCCACCCCTCGCTCAGCTCCCACTCAGTCCTTCCTCATCTGACGCTGGAACCCCTCACAAGCCGGGTGCCCTGCATTCCGGACACTGATCTTTCTCTGATCCCCTTGGACAGGGCTCCCCGCCTCTTGGGGCCCGGCTGCCGTGGGGGGGCCCTTGAGACACCTCGCCCCAGCCCCGGACTCAGGGCCGCCCGAGAGCCTCCCATTTCATTGTCAGAGGACCTGGATGGCTCCTGGCTCATTTCGTCTCCCCAGCAACCCTCAGAGGGAAGGGGGGGGGCGGAATCCGCACTCCCTGATGAGCCAGCTCAGCCCGGCGCCCTCCCCTAAGCCCCCTTCCCTCCGACACAGCCCCACGTCCATCCCTCGTGTCCCCAGAGCGATGCTGGGTCTATCAGACCATCCCCCTTTCTCTCCCACTTTGTCTCATGGGAAATCTGATCACTTAAAACTTGACCAGCCCATAGGTATTTACTAACTGTCTGTAATAGTGGGAGCTGGAGGCCCACACCCCCGTGTGCTCTGCTCACGCCCCGGCCCCAGCCGGCCACTCCGAGCCCTCCCTGCTCCGGGGTCTCAGGTCAGAGGACAGACTCTGCGCCTTGCCTTATAAGTAGTGTGACTGTTTACACACGCGCTTGAAAGTCCTCTCCTCGACTCTCTCAACAGGGCTGTGTGGTGGATACGGTTCCCCGCCCATTTTACAGGCGGGCAAACTGAGGCTCAGAGGGCAGAGCTTAGATTTCAGGCTGAACAATTTCCTCCCCCATGCACCGAGGGGTGGACAGACCCGTCCGGCGGTCAGGCAACCGGATTGCACGCGCAGGCGAACCTGGGTGGGACGCCTGGATCTGAGCCCCGGGCGGGGGCCGGTCGATGCTTCCCTTGAGCTGCGTCCCGTCCTGCCCCTGAGCCAGTGCCCAACGGCAGGGAAGGGTCTTGGCGGCCATTGGGTCCCAGAACCAAATGGCACAAATGCCAAGCGAGGCTTGGGACGGGGGAAGGCACGCCCGAGGGACGACGGGATCATTCCCCGGCTGCAGGCCTGGGCACAGAAAGGACGCGGAGAAAAATGAAGACTGAGAGCCGGTGAGGGAGCCCGGCCTCTGCGGATGATGGAAGGCCGTGCAGGGCAGTGTGGCCGGGCCCAACCACCAGAGGCTTATCCGGTGGCCCCTGAAGGGTGGCTGGAGGGAGGCCAGGAGAGAAGGGCTGAGGGCCCGCATGGGACAGGAAGGCAATGGTGGATGAACCCCAAGAAGCGCAGGCTGGTGGGGGGGGGGGCAGAGGCAGGCGGGCAAAGTGGTACGTGGGGCTGGCAGGGCAGGCTTGCTCCCGCTAAGGGTCCCCGCTGGGCCCAGACCACCTTCTCCCTGGTCCAGGGCGAGCGAGGCCCCATCCGGGCACCCCATCCCTCCACACAGTGCCGGCTGGGGTGACCGAGGCGCGTGGCAACCCGCCAGGAGCGAAGGGCGACCCTTTGCCACTAAGTGTCGTCGGGCGTTCTCATCAGGTGCCTCCTGTCCCAGCCCCGGGTCGGCCGAGAACGAGGGATCCTTGGATCAGGAAACGCCCTCCTGGGGAGCTCCTCCCAGGGCCCCGGCCCCCCCGGCCTGCCCCCTGCTCCCGGGGATTGTCCTGAGCGCCACTGCCCAGGACGTCATGGTTCAGAAGCCACCAGAAGGCAAAGGGTGAATGGCGGCGGTTCCCAGACTCTGCGAGGGCCCCGGAAGGGGCCGTTCCGGGCTGCACGCTTGGCTGCGCTTTCTGTGTGCTGCGCGTCTTTAAAAGTGGGAAGAGCTGAGGCCCGAAGAGAAAAGGAGGAACATCCCGGGAAGTGATGGGGTATCTGCTCTCACCAGAGAGACTCTTTTAAATTTCTAATCAGGAGCCAGGCCTGGGCCGGGCAGGGCTTGGCGGGGACAATGAGGCCAGGAGGCACTGGCCCGGGCCGCGGGCAGACAGGCAGGCAAGGGCTGGACTTCGGGGCGCGGGCTTTCCAGGAAGGGAAAAGGTCAGAGGGAGAAGGTCTCGGCGGGCAGCGGCCCTGGGGCCCCTCGGCCAGGTGCAAATTCGTCGTCAGGGCCAGGACGGCTGCAGGATGGCGTTCTTCTCCATCGGGGCGTTAATGTGCGATTTTTACACACTCAGAATTCCCTGGTCGTTGCTAGCAACGCGTGTCACCCGTGAGCAGGGCGCTGTTTCCCCGCCGGGCCGCTCGGCCTCCAAACGCCCTAGGCCCGAGCGGCCTAGACACCTGGACTCCGGGCTCGGGGTCCAGAACCTTCTCCCTTTATCCCCTGCGAGGCCCGGGCCGCCCCTTCTGGCGCTTTCCGCCCGGGGAAGGTGAGGCCGGGCGCGGGCCGGCGGTTGCCATGGTGGCTCCAGGCATCCGGGGGGCCTCCGGGAAACGCCAGCCGGGCCTCGGTGCGGAGAGAATGGGCTCACGGGGAAGACGGAAATTTTTCTAAAAGTGTGCAAACAGTTGAGTGAGCCCCACAGACACAAAAGGAAATGGAGGGAAGACAAAGCGACAAAGGCCGCAGCAAAGCCGGCTGGGCCGCAAGACGAGGCCGATGGGGGGAGGGGCGGGAGGGGGCGGGGCGGGCGCGGGGGCACCGACCGGAAGGGGCGGGGGCGGAAGCCGCGCTGGGGCACGTGCAGGGGACAGTTGAGGAAGTCGACCCGAAGGCCACGGCAGAGTAGGTGTGGGGCGCTCTGTGTCGCTACGGTGTGTCACTGAGGAGCCGCACAATCCGGGAGGGGCCGGAGGGGCTTGGCGGCCGCCCAGCGGAGCCCCTTTCTTCCCAGGGACGACAGAAGCCGGCAGCCAAGGGTGAGGGGTGGCCCAAGGTCACACCATGGGGTCCGGGAGGGGGCACTCAAGCTCTTTCCCTGGCGCCACGCAGCCTGCTTTTCCTTGTTTGTTTACAACCCCCCCCCCCACCCCAGTCTCTCTCGTTCCTCTTATTGAGGTGCTACGGCGCGATGACTCCGTACCTGTAGGTCTCGTGTGCGACAGGGTGACGGCGGTTAGCAGCGCCGCATTCCGAGTTTGGACTGTTGCTAAGAGAGCGAATCTCACGAGTTCTCACCGCACACACGCAGCCGGTAACTACACTTGTTGTGGTGATGCTTTCGGGACATACTCAGCCTGCTGCTTAAACGTTCCGTCACACTTGAGCTCTGGACGCAGAGGCCTGGAAGGAGCGAGAACAGTGTTGCGAGGGCGGGAAGAAGCAAACAGACGGGAAGCGGGAAGGGCAGATCTCAGGCTGTGAGGACTGAGCGGGGCAGCACAAGGAGGCACGGGGTGGGGGCACCTGGGGAGGGCAGCTGGAGGAGGAGGAGGAGCCGCTGGAAGAGGAGGAGCAGCTGGAGGAGGAAGAGGAGCAGCTGGAGGAGGGGGAGCAGCTGGAGGAGGAAGAGGAATAACTAGAAGAGGAGGAGCAGTTGGAGGAGGGGGAGGAGCAGCTAGAAGAGGAGGAGCAGCTGGAGGAGGAGGAGCAGCTGGAGGAGGGGGGGCAGCTGGAGGAGGAGGAGCAGCTGGAGGAGGGGGGAAGCAGCTGGAGGAGGAGGAGCAGCTGGAGGAGGGGGGGCAGCTGGAGGAGGGGGAGCAGCTGGAGGGTGGGGAGTTGCCGGAGGAGCATCTTGGCCCACGGCACCCGGGTGAGCCCAGGGCGGGAGCTGACGTGACGGGAGGCTGATTTGGGGTGGGGGCCGTAAGGTGGGAAGCAGTACAGCAGAGATGCCGTCCCCAGGGAAACGTGAGGACCACACAGAGGGAGTGTGGGCTCGCTGCCCCGGGTGAAGTCTCCCCGCGGCTGCCTGAGAGCGTCTTTGGGAGAGGACGGCGACCCTGTGCCTGTGGCGCGGTGATCCTGACCGCCACGGGATGTACAAACAAACGCGAGGAAGGGAGAGGTTTAGGAAGAGTCAGACCTTTGGTTTATGGAAATGGTGCAAGGGTCCCAAGTGACTATTTCATTCAGACTATTTGCTCAATCAATAAATAACCACGTACTGTTCCATTCTTTGGGGTGTTATTTTCCATATATTTCTGGAAACGTCTGACATTGGTCTGTACTTTCGGGGGCTACTTGCCTCCAGAGCGCTTCATTTTGTGCAGAATTTCGGCAACACGGGACCTCAAGACCCATTGGCCATGTCCTCCATTGCAACCACAACGTAGTAAGTGAAGCTTACGGTTAACTTATCTATATAGGTATTTATTTCTTTTAAATCCGAACTTGGTCTGAAGGATTTCTTCAAGCAGTCTTATTACTAATTTTATAGCGCTCCCCAGAACGAGGGCCACGAACTGGAAGTTCGAGATTTTTCTCTAGCGAAATGAATCTTCTCATTCCCCCTCGAACCGAGCAAGTCTGTGTGTGTGGTTCAGGTGTGGGTTTTATTTTATTTTTTATTTTTATTTTTTCAACATTTATTTATTTTTGGGACAGAGAGAGACAGAGCATGAACGGGGGAGGGGCAGAGAGAGAGGGAGACACAGAATGGGAAACAGGCTCCAGGCTCCGAGCCATCAGCCCAGAGCCCGACGCGGGGCTCGAACTCACGGACCGCGAGATCGTGACCTGGCTGAAGTCGGACGCTCAACCGACTGCGCCACCCAGGCGCCCCAGGTGTGGGTTTTAGATGATCAGTAACTCTTTCCTGAGAGACTCTTTTCAGCGTCTTAAAATTCTGTCCATAGCCGTCTTCAGTGAATAGCAAATGTGGTCAAGTGATCTTCGTGGAAGCTCGTCAGGATGAAATCTCTAGAACGCTCCTGAGGAGGACGTCTGAGCCAGCACTGAAGGTCAGTGCCTTCAGCAGAAGGTCCCGTGTGGGGCTCTGACCTGCTGTGTTGCCTTGGACCAAACAGCGAGCCTCTCTGTGCCTCGGTCTCTTCTCTGAACAGGTTGACCCATTCCTGTTTACTTTAAGGCAGGAGCTCTTACTCTGGATTCCGTGAACTTGGGCCGGGAACATGCAGGCTCGTTGTTGTCGCGAATCGGTGCCTACCAGCCCCCTCCCCGTTCTTTTCCTTACGAGACAGACATAATGATGTCGCGGCAGGAGTCAACCCTGCCCCAGCCCCTGTTGGCAACTTTTTAAAGGTTTCGCTTTCGTTCCCGTCAGCGGCCACGGTGTTCTATTCGTCTCAGGTGTGCGATGTAGTGACCCAGCACTCGGTGTCCACCCGGCGCTCCTGGCCAGCGCATCCTTGGTCCCCGTCGCCTGCCTCCCCCTCCCCCCGCCCACCTCCCCTCTGGTGACCTTCAGTGTGTGCTCCGTAGTGAAGAGTCTGTGTCCTGGTTTGTCTGCCTCTCTTTTGTCTCCCTGCTCATTTGCTTTGTTCCTCCAATTCCAAATATGAGGGAAATCCTGTGGCATTGGTCCTTCTCTGACTCCTTTCGCTCAGCCTTATCCTGTCTAGCTGCCTTTTTGCCAACCGAAACCACAGATATTTTCATATCTGCTATAGTCGTCGCAGATATGGCAGATCGTCATTTCGGCCCGTCGCTACTTAATTTTTTTTAACGTTTGCTTATTTATCTTGAGAGAGAGAGAGAGAGAGAGCATGAGCAGCGGAGGGACGGAAAGAGAGGAGAAGAGCGAGAATCCTAAGCAGGCTTCTTCCCTGTCAGCTCAGAGTGCAACTCGAGGCTCAGATCCACAAACTGAGATCGTGCCCTCAGCCAAAATCAAGAGTTGGACTTGAAAAAAATGTTTTAAATGTTTATGTACTTATTTTGAGAGAAAGAGAGAGCATGAGCAAGGGAGGGGCAGAGAGAGAGAGAGAGAGAGAGAGAGAGAGACAGAATCCCAAGCAGGCTCCACGCCATCAGCACAGAGCGTGATGCGGGGCTCAAACCCACAAACCATGAGCCCATGGCCCGAGCCAAAATCAAGAGTTGGAGGCCTAACCCACTGAGCCACCCAGGTGCCTTTGAGACATGGACACTTAGCTGACTGAGCCACCCGCGCGCCCTCGCCCATCACTACTCTAAAATCATTGATTCAACCTGTGACTACGTCGTCTTATCTAACACATTAGTACAGAAACACATCACAGTTAAAATATATTTTGTAAGTATTTTAATCCAATTGTGTTTCTTGTCACCTTGCACATTTTATTTTGTGCATGGATCTATCTATCTATACACACACACACACACACACACAGGTATCCGTCTAAGAAGGGCGTTGCCAAAGGCTTCCCAAGGCTGCCAGAAAGCTCCATGCCATGCGAAGAGGTTAGGAAGCCCTGCTTTAGAGAGACGTTGAGGCGAAACGAACGTTTACCAAAGGGCCAGCAGAACAGTGTCATTACCATGGGGAACAATCAATGAAGTAGCTCCGAGGAGAGGAGGCTGACCTTGGGGCATCACCTCAATTATTAGTATTCAGGGCAGACAGTCCCTCAGGATGGTTTTGGGGCCACACCACCTGGCCGAGCCTGGCCTCCGTGACCCCGCAAGTGGATGTCAACGCCCCCGGCCCCGAGCTCAGCCCCGCATGTTGGGGCCACGTGCTCTGCCCCTCCTGGACACATATTTCCCCGTCCCAATCTCCAGGGGAGATGTCACCGTGGACAAGCGCGCGTCCGAGCAGCAGCTGGGCTGACGCTGGGGCCCTGTTCCCCGTGCAGCAAATTTCCATCCCGATGCTCCGTGCACAGGGCTTCTGGGGGCCCTCGAGGCACCGAGCCCAGAAGCCCCGTCCTCCCGCCGTCATGCTCTCACGTCAGCACCCGCGGGACCGCAGGGACTGTCCTGTCCAACCAGTCCATCTCGGGGGCCTCCTTCACCGTGTCGGAGGGGGGCCCCCCGCCGGAGGCGGGCCGGTGCTGCAGTCAGGACACCGGGGCCTTTGAACCCGGTCACCCGTGTTTCTCCAGACCCCGGCTTCCTCATCTGCACGGTGGAGACGAGATTGTATTTCCACACGCGGCGGTGGGAGGGTGATGTGAAACGGTACCCGTGGAAGGGACTAAAGGCACGCTCACGTGCGTCGCCGGCACAGCTGTTACTGGAGCCGTGGAGGGCTCCCGAGGGCCCCGACGACCGGGCGGCTCACCCTGTGGCTTGGGCACCACGCCAGGGACGTCTGCCGGGCGGGCTCCGCGCTGCTCCAGGGTCTCCTGTCCTTGCACCGAAGACGGGGAGTTTCCCAAACAGGAGAGGACCGTTTGGACTCCTCACCCGGGGGGGTGCCCAGTCGGGAGGGCAGGCGCTGTTCTCGGCTCTGATGGCACCGCTGGGGACGCGGGGCCACGGGCCCCCCGAGACCTCCCTGCGGCAGCGAGAAACCCAGCCGAGGCCGGCGGCAGCCAGGGAAAATCCACCGAAGATCCGGCTACCGAGATTCACCTCCGCCTCGTTCCCAGTAGTCAAACACTGAAAATGGTCTAAATGGTCCTAACGTAGGAGGCCCGTTAAATACAAGTAGACATTCTGCAGCCGCGACAACTTACGTGGCAGGAGGACATTGAACAGCAGAAGAAGAAACTCCTAGCGCTTTGAGGGGAAAGGCCGGGTCAGAGAACACAGGTTACACACTCGACTCCCCCCCCCACCCCCCCCACATGTGTGTGCACACACATATATGATGCAAACAGTTATCTTGGTGATGGGACTTGAGGACTTTTAAAAACTGATTTTTTTTTTTAATGTTTGTTTTTGAGAGAGAGAGCACAGGCAGGGGTGGGGCAGGGAGGGAGGGAGACACAGAATCGGAAGCAGGCTCCAGGCTCTGAGCTGTCCGCACAGAGCCCCACGCGGGGCTCGAACTCACCAACCGCGAGATCATGACCGGAGCCAGTCGGACGCTTAACCGACTGAGCCACCCAGGCGCCCCTAATTAATTTTTGGAGGAGGGGGAGGGGGAGAGGGAGAGGTAGGGAGGGGGAGAGAGAGAGAGAGAGAGAGAGAGAGAGAGAGAGAGAGAATCTCCAGTAGGCTCCACAGTCAGTGCAGAGCCTGGGGCTCGATCCCATAACTCTGGGATTGTGACTTTAACCAAAATCAAGAGTCAGACGCACAACTACCTGAGCCCCCCAGGTGCCCCGAGAACATTGTCATTTTCTTCTTTTTGAAGAAGAAGTACGTGTATTTCTTCTTACCCATAAAGAAAAAAATGTAGGGTTTTTGCGTGTGTGTTTTTCATTTTGCTTTGGTGTTAAAGAAGGGAATCCAAGCTGCCGAGACTGGGGTGCCTCGTGTGCGGTCCCGCAGACTGAAGGGACCCTGGCCACCCGCCCGCCCGGGGCCCAGCTTGCTCTGCCCTGAGCGGCACCTGCTGAGTGTTTGGAGGACCAAGGGATCCCCCAGCGTGGCGCCTGAGCCCCCGACTTGCCTCCAGGAGGAACAGGGCCCGGGGCCCTTGGCGACCTGGAACGGGGTCTTCAGAGGACAGTGGGGGAGAAAGACCAGTGAGGGCCACTCAGTGGACTGGAGCCTGAGCGGGGCGGCCGGCGGATAAACCCACAGAAGTCGCACGGTCACCTCGACAAACGGACCCCAGCCGAGCAGGGTCCCTCAGTTCCTACCTCGCTTTGGAGACGCCCTGCGCCAGGCTTTCAGAGGGAAGGTGACCAGGAGGCAAACCGATCACAGGCACTTAAATAAATGAAAACTCTACAGAGATCCAAGGGATTCCTTCTGCTCTCCACCGCCCTGACCGCCCGCCCCCCTTACTGTGAGAGCCAATAGAAATTAAACGCTTTCCACTCTACTGAAAATGAGCAAAAGTAGATGAACTACGTTGACAACACAAGTTTGTGTTTAGCTTGAAGTTCAGGTAACGTCCACGCTCCGAGCCGGCCCTGGCAGGTGACCCAGTGACACAGGTCCTGCAGGAGGGGGGCTCCGGGTGCGGCCGGCCGGGCACGGTGGAGGCGGGGGGGGGGCACACATGGCCCACCGTTCTTGCCAGGGAGCCTGCAGAACCTCGAGCTGACCCAGGGCGGTCATCCTCTGTCTCGGCTGGGATCACAGCGACCTGGGAGACACCCCCCTACCCCAACGAGGTGCCCTCTAGGGGCGCCGAGGGACCACCCAGCCGCTCTGACCCCCACGGTCTCTGTGCCTCTCCCCTTTCAGCACAGGAGACCCTGGGAGCCTCTGAACTCCTCTCCCCGCTGACTCCTTCCTCCCCCCAGCAGGGGACACAGGCCCCCCCCCCCCCGTCCCTGTCCTCTCCTCCACAGCGTCCACGTTAGTGTTTCTTCCCACCACCTGCCCCTGCGGGGGTCTTTTCTGGGTCTGCTTGTCCCACCACTGACCTGGAAAGCAGTGGTGGCCCCCGGAGGAGGTGGCCCTTTTGAGACGAAGACGAGGACCCCGGTCCCTGTCCAGCACGCAGAGGGCACCAGCATTCACGTCGAGGCCTCCGGCCTCGGCCCCCTTCCGGTGGAAAAGCCCCAAATTGAATGTAGAGGGGGCCCCGGCCACCGCCCCTCCGCCTCTCACCGTGGGGCCTTACAACGCACAGGCGTCTGCTGAAACGTGGGCCAGCAAGAGTAGTCGTCAAGGGGGGACAGTTACTGTGGGGGCGCAGGCTTTCGGGGGCACCCTCGGCCCCACGCGGGCAGTGCCGAAGCTGCGTGACGTCGTTCAGCGCTTTTCCGGGGGGTCTGCCAGGAAGGGGCTCTGGCTGAGAAGTTTCTCCGGTTTGGGCCCACGGCTGGCTCTGAGCTACGACACGCGGCCGGACTCGGGGGCCCCCTGAGGGAGGAGCCGTGCGCTGGGCCGGTGCTGCCCGGGTTCCCCTCAGCGAGACCACAAACGGGAGGCAGCCAGTGCTCTGTCTGAGCCTGACGGGCTGACCGTGGTGTCTGGGCCTCTGGGATCCAGGACGAGGGCGGCCGGGCTCAAGGGCACTGGCTGTCAGAGCAAGGCCGCAGGACGGACCTGGACAAAGGGCTCCCCACCTGGGCCGACGTCCCTCACCTGCCCCGAGGGGCTCGGCCCGGGGCAGCCAGAGCCGCGGGTGTGGGTCACACAGCTGCACCCCCAGGGGCTGGGGTGGGGGCGGGCTCTGGCCCTGAGTCATCGGGTCACCGTGTGGTTACTTAACCCTGGGTCCGTGCGTGAGAGAACACTTCCCTCTTTGGGGATGGGCCGTACGAACTAGAAGAACAAAGGCTTTGCTAGGCTTAGACACTCAGTCATCGAGGGGAAGGAAAAGCATTTCTTAATATATATATATGTATGTATGAACGTATTCCTTTCCTTCTGTGGTATGCAAAGCACCACACCCAACAGGTGGACAGTCAGCCCTGACCAGCGCTGCTCCAAACGGACTCCATCTTTCTGCCGAAGGCACCCGCGACAGCCCTGGTCCACGGACACAGGGCCACGGAGCTCCCTGCAGCGCCGTGGGAAAGCATCTCAGCACGACTGTAGACCGCGCAGGGGCGGGGGCTCAGCCAGGCCAGAGCAGAGCCCCCAGCCTGGCGCTTTGCAGTCTGGAAGTTGTCCAGGTTTCGGTGTCCACAAAGTATGCAAAATGTAGCTAATTCCCACCATTTGGGGGTATTGCTAAAAAAAAAAAAAAAAAAAAAATCCACTCAAGTGACCCTTTAATCTTAGGGCATTAATATTTAATCACAGCTCTGATTGCATCTAAGGGCAGTTCAAGGGTATATTTTCACCTTAAGGTCTAATAATTTAATAACACTTATTGAACCTGCATTGGTATTAGACCTCACTCTCTTTTAATACCGTGTTGCTTTAAATAGGGTCCATTTTGAATGGGGACCGAATAGTCTATTTTTTGGTTCTGTGCTTTCTTCTACAAACCACAGGGCATGAAGGTGCTTAATCAGTGCGCTTTGATGAAGAACAACAAAGCCATAAAGATCGTTTCTATCAGACAATGAAAACCACCTGATTGAAATCTTCTCTCCCTCTGTTGACAGTGGTGTCACTTCAAGGATTGTCATGGCCCTTCCTCGGCCGGTATCAGAGAATACGCTGTAGAGAAAGTCCCACTTGTTCGGAAAGCGGCTTTGAGGCGAACCCTTAATCTAAAACGTCAGGAGTACATTCTCTCCCTTCAGGTACCAGCCTCGCTCGTCGTGCAGTTCAAAATCGGGATTAATATTTTAACTTCTCACTTACGGGATCTTTCCGAGTCGGAGCCAGGCTTAATTAGCCGACGTCGGGCATCCGGCGTCCCATTATGGAACTTGCATTCCTTAGATATTAGTTCGTTTATGCTCCCGGAGGAGGCGGCAGCTCCTCTCTGTCCGCTCCGAGGAAGGCGTGTGCGCCTCGAGTGGTATCTTAGCTCAGCCAAGTGCGCGGTGCAGCTTCCACAGTGGTTTGGGGGCACGCGGCGCTCTCTCTCCTATTTAATCGCTCGCCTCGCTGTCCCGGCCTCCACTCTGTGCCGTTACGTTTTGGGGGATACGATGTTGACCCGCGGGTGGTCCAATAAAATGCGTGTTCCGTACTAATGAGCCATATTGCAGTTCCGACATATTTCCGGTGTAACCTCATAGCTTGTTTCCCAAGCTTCTTAACAGATGGCATGTGTTTTGTAAATATCTCGCTGTCGTGAGACAGGATATTTTTGTCAGCTGACTTCCCCCTGCCCAGACGACAGGCCCACCTTTGAGCGTGGGACGGTATGCCTGCACCTAAGTTTCCGCTCTGAACCCTCAGAGAACCCAGAAGGGCACGCACCTGTGGCTGATGCCACAGACTCGTCTACAAACCGTCCCCAGGAAGCCAAGCCGGATTTTCAGGTGACGTCCCTACAGACAGATGAGTTGCTATTACGGTCACTGTAAGCACCATCTCTGTGGAGAAGGGCAGATCCTGAAAATGGACAGAACGAGTGGGTCACTCCTCCTCAGCAAACGCACGTTCGGGGGCCAAGGGCGGGAAGGACAAGTCCGGAGACGACATCATCATCTGTCCGTTGCACCTCTTCTGAGGTGACTTATGGGCGATGTAGGTCTATGATTCCATATTTCAATTTTATGTACCTCATTCGGTCTTTTGTCTGTGTAGTTCCTTGCCCTGCAACAGTGACTCCGCGGACTGTAAGGAATGTAGCAGGGGGCATTAAGACCTGGGCAGAAAATCATAACAAAACACACACTCGTATGTAACAGGTATCGTGACAATTTGCTACCAGTGCATTGTGGGATAGAACGACGCAAAACGCCATTGAGTGGGTTTCCAGATTTGAGATGAGCTCATAGTTTTGTATCAGATTTTAACACAGGCCACAAAATCACATCAAAGAATGGCTTTTTCCCATATGCCATTGCAACCTGAATTTTAAGGTTGAAAGCTTCAACTTTTTAATGTAGCTAACGCTACCACCTATGTGGATAAATATCAACCTGAGCAGAGAAACAGGTAGAACAAATAACAATTATAAACAGCAACTGACTCTATTTTTTAGGGCTTGTCTTAGTAAATAAAGTATTGATCCCTCCCATTTGGGACTCTGGCTCAATTCCACTTTTCAGTCCTCAGTGAAATGGATTCAGTGGCCTGGGCTGCTTCTTAGCAAATGGGAATCCACATAACAGAATATAAACCGCTCATCTTGGCCAACCTGGTTTCTCTCCAGGAGAACAGGTGCGCAGGATCTTCTGCAGAGACCCAAAGAGCCGGCCTCACAAAAACACAACTCGAAACCCCTGCCTCCAACACGTCTACTCTCCGCAGTATTTTCATGAGCATCACACGCCCCACCCCCACCCCCACCTTTTTTTCCCCTCCAGGAATTTCCCTGACCTAGAATTCGGTTGCTTTTCACGGACTCTAAGAAACTTTTGTGCCACGCTCTGGGTGCTGACTCTTTTTTCCACCCCCAGGCTTTTTGCTGTCTTTGGTTTTGGTCAATCAACGTCATTAAAAAGGCAGGAGTGGGGCGCCTGGGTGGCGCAGTCGGTTAAGCGTCCGACTTCAGCCAGGTCACAATCTCGCGGTCCGTGAGTTCGAGCCCCGCGTCAGGCTCTGGGCTGATGGCTCAGAGCCTGGAGCCTGTTTCCGATTCTGTGTCTCCCTCTCTCTCTGCCCCTCCCCCGTTCATGCTCTGTCTCTCTCTGTCCCAAAAATAAATAAACGTTCAAAAAAAAAGAAAATTAAAAAAAAAAAAAGGCAGGAGTGTGGTTCAGAGGGTCGCTAAAGCAACCCACTGCTCTGTCTCATTATTGCTCATTAGCAAACGCAGCACAACTTGGCCGTGCCCCACAGGGAACCCCAGAATATTCTCAGCCCAAAGATGCAGGGGGTTCGCGTCTACCCCTCAAGCGGACGTTTAATCGGTAACTTCGCAAAGCCAAAATATTTACACGGGTTTAGCAAGTTGGATCCGGAAAAAACTTTCTGGAAGGAAAAAGTACATAGAGGTCGTGGGGCATCAAAAGTCTTGTAAGAGACGAGCCTATTTTTTACCGGGAAATAAGAAAAAACTGAAAAGCCGTATTCGGCGGAACCTTAGATGTGCGCCATCAGAGACAAGAAGGGTGGTTCGCGTCAGTCAAAGCAAAAGCATCCACACCCACGAGGGACACCGATCGGGGACAGAAGGCACACCTCTTGTGTTCGTGCGGGTTGGAAACGGGAGCCCCGATTCTCCTGAGCGGCGCCATCAGCACTGGCCGCGTCTGTCTCTGAGAGTTTGTAGCGACCGCCAGGGAGGTGGAGACAATGCCACACTTTTCCAGAGTTCCTGTTTCACTGGGCACTTCCTGCCAGGGCCTCTGCCATGTGCTCAGCAAGGAATCGAGTCCCCGGGCAGCACACTTACCAACAAGGCCCACGTTAGGGAAACGTTTATGACTATGTGAGATGCGGAACGAATCTTAAATAGGTAGGTTTACACACGGATGTACAGGCTGCGTTTTAAACACTTTCGCTACCTGACTGCAGTACGGTGCTAATTATTCTGAAATCCTTTTTCCGTGTTGTGTCAGCTGTGGTGCAGGCTCGCTGGGCTACACTGGGCCGGGTCTAGACTCGCAGCCAGCTGCCGACACGTCCAAAAGCCACGTGCCTTTCCGCTTCCCCCAGTAAATAAGTGGTGTGAACTTACGACAAGAAGTGGGGAGGGAGAAGGAAAAAAGTGGAAACCGCTTCTCCTGAATTTTGGTAAATTCTCCTAAGTTCCAGAACTGTCTCTTCCCAAAGCATCAGCTGAGCGGTTTAAACAGCGTGATTTCCAGGCAATGACGTAACACACGGCGGACGGTTTTTGCTCTCTGGGGGCAGACTTTATATCACCCTGCCTAGTAAATTCTCACCACCAACAATGAGCATCTCTTCTTCAGAATAAGTTACAGAATATGCCCCGGCATCGGCAACGATTACAGTCAGATGTCACTGACTGTAAGTTTAACGAAGACAATGAAATATCCAAGCCTAGCACTAGGACGACTACGTTCTGGTATTAAGTGGGGTCAAAAGTAATTTTTCATCCGGTCCCACCTCCCCTCTGTCTCCACACCTACAAACACACCCAAATGGGAGGACAATAGATTAGTTAGTGGTAAAATACACACACTAAGCGTTAGCTGGAAGTCTTTTCAGAGACGCACACGCACAACAGAGTTTGCGGCAAAACAAAACGCGGTCACTGGTGGCATCTTTGAAGAACACACAAGATAACAGTATAGTGACTTTCTGACTCATCTGGATTAACAAGGTAATGCGAAGAAAGGCCACCATATTGCTTGCGAGAAAAGCGTTCATTATTTTTTCACACATTCCGTTACATTTTAGAGATTAATACGTTTTTAAACTGAAGGTTTCTGGAACTTCGTATCTCCTTCCTGATGGAAAGAAAGTTTGTGTCTTTAATCGATCACTGTATAGAACCCAGAAGACATAATCTGGAATTTGTGGCAATATATTTTCTTACCTTCATGACCAATCAAGCATTTAAGAACTCAAATCATGCTCTTTCTCATCAACTAGAACATTATACTTGTAGACGCGCATAAGATATTGTGTATGTTATCAAATCCTTATTCCATTTATGAAACGCCTTCCGTTTTTTCTTCCTGGGCACTTAAACGCTTCACTCCTGACCCTGTCTGTATCCGAATCCACAAGGGTAATTTGTTTTATGCAGTCCTCAACTTCCCCTATCCAAAGAATCGGGTCTGTCGCGACACCAAACAACAGATTTTCAACACAATGTCATATGTGCAACAACACCGTATAAACGAGACACGTGAACTTTGTTTTCGTGAGGAAACGTGAAGATAGGAACACGGACGTTGACCTGTGGGCTGTGACTTTCCTCCTCAGTAACCGGTAGAGGTGCCATCCAGGAGCTCCGCGAGGTTAGCAGAGGCTCCACAGAGATCTGGAAAAAAAAAAAAAACAAACCAAGAAAAGTCACATAGCATCACTAACCCATCTCACACCAGCGCGTGAGTCACGGACTTTCTGCAAGAAACACAGTTTTGAGGGAAGCACGTTTTAAAAACTTTTTTATCGTGGAAATTTTCAAACACACACACCTCCTCCCCGGTACCCCAAACGTGGCCTCCACACCTGCCAAAGCTCTGTTATCTTTGCTGCCGTCCTCCAGAATTTTTTCCGGAGTATTTTAAAACCAAAGCCCAGGGAGCGTGTCACTTTGCCCATGGCCTTGGGGGTGTTTAAGAAATGCCTTAAATAGAGGCGCAGCACGCTTGGCATTTAACCCGAGGAGCAGAGAGGCAAGGAGGGGGCTCTGGGACGCTCCACTTTGCCAACTGGAAGCAATTAACATCCGCCCTCTCCAGAAAGGCTACGATTCTTTTTACTCCATAATTTATCAAAAACAGGAAAAAGACGAGGTTTTGAAAGCAATTATTTTGTGTAATATAATTCAACACCTCCGTTCGCGTAGGGAAGTCTGCACGAAGAGGTAAAAATGCTGCTTCTTTAGACGGAAGCCGAACATCTCAAGATACCTGGTCCTTTACTCCATAGGTCGCATTCACAAGGATCACGCGTCAGATTCCTCAGTCTCACGTTTTCAGGGTTAAGATTTAGGAGCGGAGCAGAAGTGACACGTACCCAGAATATATTCGCGTATTTACATTTAGGCCCTCACACTCCAGCTAATGAACGCCTCCACAAAAGTGAGAGGATCCATCCATTCCCAGCCCAGAGTGGTACACCCTCCACCATCCGTGGGACACAGCTACCCTTTTAATCATGACCTTCTATCTTATTCAGATTTTAAAGCATCGTTTGGACTTCAAGACGTTAAACTGACAATGTGGCCGGGGTAAGTGCCACAAAATATTCCACCAGGAAGATCGAATACACTCACTTCTCTTTTTTTGCCTGGGGACAAACGACCACGACGACGACAGATTGTCTATCAGGTAGTCCCATTGCTCCGTCTCACACCCCAAGAGCAGGATGTATTTGACGCCTTTTCTTTTATGCAGTGCAGAGCGGCGAAGAGGTATCCACAGACCCGTCTGCGATGCTGTCGCCTTTCACCGAGGTTTTCTTTATGCGTTCAAGGCAGGGTGCATACGTTCACGAAAACCTCACTGATGGGGCCTTTTTAAATCCAGACGGTCATCGCGAATGTAATATGCGTTTTCTCCATGGTCCCCCACGTACTGGTCTGCGCACGGGGAGTAAACTGGACAGTCCTGTTAGGGTCCAGCGTCAATGAACTAGATGGGAAGAAGGTTTCACAACGTACACACGTATCAGATCGCCACGGTGCACATGTGAAACGCCTTACAGTTTATACGTCCATCAAAGCCCAATAAAGCCGAGGCTTTAAAATCCGCGAACGTGCTTTCATGTGCTCCTACGTAATTACCGAGAAGAAGGTGAAACGATCTACCCTCAAGAGAGAGAAAAGCAAAATTCATATATATACACATATAACACACACGTGTGCACGCAGGCACACGCACGTATAGGTGAAGTGTACACAAAGTGTAAAAAGGAGCCGCCCTTCCGATTAAACGTCTAGTTCTAGAACCATCTATTTAAAAAAAACCGATCCCCCTAAAAGCAGAACATACACACTCCAGCAGCCGTCAGTGCAGCGCCTTGGACACAGCATGCTCTGCCTTGGGGGACGGTCACCGGTGAATGCGGCCTGGCGGCCTCCAGCACACAAGACACACACACACACACACACACACACACACACACACACACACGGCCCTGTCTTTAAAACGTTTTAAATCACGGAGCTCAATCGTAGCAAAGTTTCGGACAACAGCGTGGGAGTTTTTCTACAACACGAGAGTGTCACCTTTTCCACGGGAATCCGAAAGCCTTCCCACCTGTGAAAACACATGCTTCTTTGTCGCCGTGGTCACCGAGGGCGAGCGTCCTCACTGAGGCGTGGCTTTCGGTTTTCTGGCGATAATTTTTAAGTGTGAAAAAGGCGACCTCGTTACGTGGCGCTAACTTACTTCGACGGCGGGGACTTTGGGCTGGGAGGGAGTCTAGCCTCTTTGTAAGGTGACCGTGTTCTCACTTTTTAATTTACGGATGGTTTACAACAGCCATGAGGATGCTTCACGGGGAAACACGACCCTGAAAAGGCTCGCTACGTTGCGGCCACGAGGTGGTGGCCCACCTTGTACTCTCAGCAGCTCGGAGGGGCCGACGCTTTACAGTGGAAACACTTCACCAGTTTTTAAACAACCAAATGCTATTAAGACTCCGTAAGCTAAGGCTTTCTTTCCTGCGTAAATCTTAGGGTTTTGCCTTACACTCACGCTTTCTCGGGGCTAACGTTAATGCTCAGTTCCAGGGACCAATATGCAGAAGCAATGAAAAGGCAGTCACTATTATTAAAATTAAGTCAAACTGCTGCATTTAGGAAGAGGGTCTCTCCCCAGAATCTTGTCATTATTTGGGGCCACCGCTGCCAGGAAGAGTTGGTGAAACTTTCTCAGGCCCTTCTGTGAGGTCCGAACAGGTGTTTAGAGAGCAAACCAGTGGCCCTTGCCATAGGTGATTGTGACAAGCCCAGACCCTCTGTGACAGAAAAATAGGAAAAGAGGTATTTCCAATAGCGCGCATCCCATTTTTGCTCGTATCTTCAAGCACGTGCCCATCTCTGAATCGTTCGCAAAACTTCGAAAATATCGAGCCTACTTTCTTTGGAAAATCGTGGCTACGCACTTATTGATGGGAGGCTCACGAAAGCAACCTTTCGTGTCTGAGCTCAGTGAGACGGCTCTCCGGGCCCTGAGCAGTCCCGAGTGTCTCCTTCTACGGTACTCTTCAAACCCCCAACCAAACTGGATCATCTTTATTATTTTTTTTTTCAAACTGGATTTTAAAAAGAAAACAACCCCGTTATCTACTCAGAGGAAGAAAACTTCTTCCTGTTGATGTGGCTTTGTCACTTTGTCGTTTAATAACCTTTGATGACAGAAAACGTTTCTCCACAGATGGGCAGGAACTCTTATTTCAAGGACTGGGGCACTAAAGTTGATACTGTGGAGGAAGGTACGTTATGCTTTATTAGAAACAAAAAAAAATTTTTTTAAGATATCCCGGGAAAGAAACTTGAAAAAAAAAAAAATACCCAGCACCCCTCGCAAATCGGCAAAGAAAAAAAGCTTTTAAAATCTCGTACTAAATAAAGATCCCGCCTGCTATCAGTTTAGGTTCCAGGCGAGTCATAAAGAGATTCTCCTTCCTGGTCCAGGAGGGAGAGAGAACCCAACCTCTCCGAGTTTGCAAACTGGAAAGAGAAAGTGCTTTGGACCCCGCCGGTGCTGATGGGCCTGGGCCCCCTTTACCGTCTTTAGACTTCCTGGCAAACGCAGAAGAAAGGCAGCGCCCACGGAAGAGCCACCTAGCCCCGTGGTTTTGTTTATTTGTCTTCTCTCACATGGGGTCTTTCTGACTCAGTGCGGAGCCGGTGGTGGTGGTGGTGGTGGCGGGGAGGCAGCGAGGGCGGTTTGAAAAAAAGGTGCTGCCGCGCCGGGTGAGGGGGGTGGGCGAGCGGAAGACACATGTTACATCAGACACAGTACCTGCTTTCTCACTGCACAGCTTGTCAGCGAGGTCGTGTGCCTCCTGGGCGATAAGTGAGAATATCTCGTCTTCATGCTCCTCTATAATAGCTTCGCACTGCGGAAACGTAATAACAACATATGTGGATAGATCCGCGCGCACAGGGCTCTCGTGAGAAGGTCGCACCAACATTTTATTAGCTAAACACAGAAAACCGTGTTACCACCGTGGCTCGTTTTCATCAGCGCCTTTGCTTTCGGGACCTCACTGCCTCGGATGGAGCCTCGTCCCCAAACGTTAATTGCGTCATTTTCCTGGGACTTAAAACTAACCGATTAGTCGTGTTGAAAGACGAGAGTGAGGAGGGAGGCGGTTCTTTGTATCTGTGCCTCTTCGTTACATTGGAATGCGAAGAAAAGGAAGAAAGGGGTCTCCTAGGTAGAGCTGGGGAGTCTTAGCTTTCTGGTTTTGTTTGGGTTTTCTAGACTCCTTCAAAGAACCCGGCTCCTGGAGACGCTTAAACCGGTTTCCCTCAGATTTAACATAACAATCCATTTCGTGGTTTTAAAACAGAGTCTGAAGTGTGAAAACAATTAAGCTTTCTCAGCAATCAAAACAAACCTCGTCGGTTTCACTGTGGGTAACATGCTTGGCAGTGACTTGGCCAAGTTTCTTTTCAAACCATCTAGCGCTCCGTTGATAATTTCACTTTGCTTCTAGCCCCAAATCTCACTTTTCAGAGAAGAGGGAGCCCAAAGGGGCCCGGGGCATTAAAAAAATCTTAAATTCTAACTGAAGGACGCGTCTGTGCTCAAGACCCACAGGGTTACAGCTCCTGGAACCGTGAAGCTACAGGAGGGCATTCGCTTGAGACTTGGCAAAGCACGGTCCTAGTTCATTCAGCAAGACTTTAAAATTTTTCAATGGCATTTAAAAATATGCAAATTCCACCATAACGTGTTTATTTAAAACCTGTGAAATACAAGCACACGTACTCATCGCAATTCCTGTTCCAGGGTGCTTTTACCTTGGAGTTATTGCCTTCACTTTTTAATTAAAATGAAATCTTCAGAAGTCAGCTAAAGCCCCTGTTTCGGGGCGTCAGCATGCCTGACATTTCGGCCAGTGTGTGAACTTAATACATTTTTTAAACAGGCTTTGCCATCACTCGGTCTGATTCAACAGCGTTAAGTAAAGCGAAATATATTGGAATCTATTTTGCCAGGCACATTCTAGCAAGCCAGAGGCCAGCATTCACTTAAAATAAACACCATACCGGACGGGAGTTTGGCATTAAGCCAACTATCATACCTAAGCCTTTGTTTAACTTAGTTTGTGCTAAAATACTTGAATTAACTCGGGAAGGAAATTCTCTGTCTTCTGTGAAGTCTGAAGGGGGAGAAGGAAAAAAAAAAAGATGTTTGTCACTCTTCCTCTATCATTTGGCTATAAATATTTGAAAACGACATTCATTCTAATTTGGATTTTAACCTAGGAGCCACCACCCCTGATTCCTTCTGTGGGAACCTGGAAGAGACCTGCCTCGGCAAGGGGGGCCACTGAGACCCCTCTCTGAGCCCCACAGGGGCAGAGCAGGCGCGACCCTCGGCTTCAAGTCGCTGGGAGCTACAACAGCACTTTCTGCGAAACACCGCCTGTCTGCACAGCCCCGCGAGGTGTCTCAAAGGCAACTTCCCAAATGCATGGTCAACACTGACGCCGCCGCGGGACCACAGAGCAGCCAGATAACCTTTTAATGTTCAAGGTCTGGAAACTCAACCGCAACCCAAGCAAACGGCCAAAAAGAATACCCCAAATGGTGTTCCTGGCGCGTGGGATTCACCTGCGAGGAACGGGAGCTTACCGCGAATTTCAAAGGTCTGTAAGCATCAGAATAAAAATGGAATTTTTTAAATTCTTTGTATATTCTGTCTCCTTTCCTTGGAGCAAACCTCTTAAACTTCTTCTCCCGAGTCACGGAATCTTCTTCCAGCTGGTAGTGGTTCATCCGCTCGCACACTTGGTCCAACAGGTCTGTTAGGAAAACCTCCGAGTGGGCTAGGGGGGTCTGTGGAGACAAACGGGGCAGGAGACCTGCCTTAACGTTCACGCGGTCTTAGCAGATCGTGCGCCGCCGGACGCGTCCGGGGCCGCGGGCCACCCCCAGGAGCGCCGGGAGGCATGACCTTCCTCGCACAATGTGCTTGCGGTTGGGTTACTTACAGAACGTGGGAAGTTCGCTTACACTGTGCTTTTGGAAAGGGGCGGGTGTTTGAAAGTGGACGGGAAGGAAACCCCTAGATTGGAACTGGAAAGTGCACTTACACAGATAGTCCTTTTTCAAAGTCATTGCACATGCAGAATACGGCACCGAGGACAGAAAATGGCTGTGATTATTTACTCGCCGCAGAGAGGGAGGGAGGGGAGGGGGAGGGGCGGAGGGGGAGGGGGAGCACAAGAGGGGGACCGGGAGCGAGGCAGAGACCGCGGGCCAGCGCGCCGCGTCCTTCTGGACGGGTCGGGCCGAGCCGACAGTGGCGCCCGCGGGCGCCGGTGGGGGAGTGGGGGGGGGACAGGGGCGCGCGGGACGGCCACGGGCGCGGGCTCGGGGAACAGCTGGCGCCCGTCTCCGCGCGCCCCTGTCCCTCCGGAATGCGGCGAGGATTCAGGGGACGCCCCCCACCCCCACCCCGCCCCGGCCACCACCTCCGCCCCGCGCGGGGGTCAAAGAGCACCCCTCGCCCCCTGGTAACCGACACAAAACCTCGGGGCCCGTCTAGACGGGTCAAGGTGCAGGATGCCGCGTCCCCGCGGCTCCTTCCGGAAGGGGGCGGGGACCCGCCAAGGGCGCCGCGGACGCGCCGCGCCCGGGCCTCCGCGGGCTTTCTCCCTCTCCACCCTCCGCTGATCAAAGTAGGAAGTTTGCGTGACAACCGTGGTGAAAGGGGCTGAATCGCAAATGAACTCGATTTCGGCGATGTTGATCTAGCCGGCCTCCATTGTCCCCTTTCAGGCGCAGTGTGAACCCTTCCGGTGCCGGCGACCGCGCGGCGGCGAGGCGCGCGCTCCGGGCGCACAAAGGGTCCCCGCGCCTCCCGCCCCCGGGCCGGCGTCCCCGCCGCCCCCGGGGTCCGCGAGCAGTGCGCGCGGTGGGACACAGGCCTGCAGGAGCCGGGGCAGCAAGAGAGCCGAAGACGACCGCCGCCGATGGGCGCCCAGCTGCCCCCGCCGTGTGCGCGGTAACGGGGTCCCCGCCTCTCCCCCCAAAACCCGGTTCCAGGCGCATTCTCTCCAGGCCCGGGCGCTCCCTTTTGCAACGAAACCGTTTACTCAACTGGATTAAACCACAACGCTTATCCATTCACTAAAATAGCCAGTTTTTAAAAACTCGCGAGTGTGGTTTGGTGGTGGTGTTTTCGGGTCTACAGTGAAATGACCCTAAAGGTAGTGGCTTGAAGTGCATTCCAAATACAAGCTGCATTTCACTTACACTTTTAAGCCAATCAAGCCCTGTAAGTTGTAAAAACAAAACAAAACAACAAGCACAGCAATGCGTGGGTTAGGGAACAAACTGAAAATCCGTTTTATTAACCACAGGCGCTGAGGATTAAATCTGTATTGCGTCTGCACGTTATAAAACACAGAGGTAAATTCTTAATTACAGTTAATCAAGCAGATCATTAGCTGCATGATTATGGGGTGGTTTTTTTTTTTTTGCCTGCCACGCGTGTGGTTTAAGTGTATTTCCTTATCTGATACGTTTGAGATGCCTTCATGGTACTTTCTGGATGTTAGCAAAGCAGGTTTTCACTTTACGGTGATGAGTACACGCTTTCACTTAAAAAAGCTAACTGAAACCCGGAAAGGCACTCTCTGTCCCCTCCGGCCCCCACCTTCCCCAGCGGAAAAGTAAACAGGGTGGGGGTGGTCGTCACCGTCACCGGAGGGCGGGGGTTCGAGTCTGGGAGAGTTTGGGGGAACACTCAGCGCTGCCTTGACGGATCCCAGTACTTTCCGCTGACTTGGGACGCTCTCGAAAATGTTTTTTAAATCTGACCTCACCCACCCAGCCGTGTGCAGAAACTGCCCACCGTCTCTCGTGAGCAGATCAGACGCTAGCGACCGAAAGGCCTCCTCAACTTACTTTGGAGGGGTTTTTGATTTGTTTCCCGGGGCTGGCACTATTTTAGAACAGTCCCCACTTTACAACTTTCCCCAAAACGGGATTTTTTTTTTCCAGTTTTCAAAGTGTCATGCTATACATTTGAATATACTAGTATGGTACTGTTTTAACACACATATGTTATATCAAGAGATCAACACGTGAATTTTGTTGATTTTATGAGTCTGAAGGCAAACGGGTTTGTGTGCGTGTGTGTGTGTGTGTGTGTGTGTGTGTGTTTGTTTTCCCGTCATTAGCTGGCTCTTTTGAGTAAACATTCCTTAATAGGAGGAAGTGTTTGCCTGCAGATAGCTCAGAAAATGCTTCCTCACAATCTCCGCTAAAAACAGGTAAAGGAAAAACACCCAACGTGAACTTACTAGATCTGTTTTCAGAAGACTAAGAAAAAAAAAGGATTTTAAAATCTCAATCAAAGCATCCGGCTTTGTGAGAAAATGCTAAAGATGTCTAAGCATCGCCGCTCTTTGCACATTGACGCCGCCGCACACGATTGGAGTTTAAAATGATTCCACTTAGCTGAACTGCCTTCAGTAAATTTAAAGACTGTTCACAGAATAATTGGGCCTTTTTCTCCCCTCAGAGTGTTTTGATTATAAGAGTGCAATAAGTATTGAGACGAGTGGAATAAAACAAAGTCTTTCTTTCTATACTCTGAAGATTTTGAATAGTACTTGTCAATAAAGCAATTCCTATTGTAATCTTAGGGGAGGGTGGCCTCCACCCCGGAAGGACTGTCTCAGAGATAGTAACCTCATTACAATATGAATGAAAAAGGCCGCCAGCATTGTATCGGGAGAAAACCGATTCACGGGCACCCGG